TGGGTTGAGAGGGTGACAGGGGGGAGAGCGGGGTGTTTTTTAGGGGGTGTGGGTGTGGGTGTAGAGAGAGATAGGTGTGTGGTTGTGCAGGTGGTTGTGGTTGTGGGTGTGTAGAGGTAGTGGGTTGTTTTAGGTGGGTGTGGGTGTAGAGAGAGATAGGTGTGTGGTTGTGCGTGGTGATAGTGTGGGTGTGTAGAGGTAGGTGTGTGGTTGTGTGTGTGGGGTGTAGAGATAGGTGTGTGTGTGTGTAGAGATAGGTGTGTGTGTAAGATAGGTGTTGGGTGTGTGTGTTTAGGTGTTGTTGTTAGTGAGGTGTTGTGTGTATAGGTGTGTGTGTGTGTAGAGATAGTGTGTGTTTAGGTGTGTGTGTGTAAGATATGTGTTTGGCTATGTGTGTAGATAGTGTGTGTTTAGGTTTGTGTGTGTAGTGACAGGTGGTGTGGTTGTGTGTGGTGATAGGTGTGGTTGTGTGTATAGGTGTGTGTGTGTGTGGTAGATAGGTGTATGTTTAGGTGTGTGTGCGTGTAAGATATGTGTTTGGGTGTATGTGTAGATAGGTGTGTGTTTAGGTTTGTGTTTTAGTGACAGGTGTGTGGTTGTGTGTGGTGATAGGTGTGGTTGCGTGTGTAGGTGTAGGGTGTGTTTAGGTGTGTGTGTGTAGAGATAAGTGTGTATATACATACACATATATATATATATATATATATATATATATATATATATATATATATATATATATATATATACATATATATATACATATATATATACATAAAAAAATAATCCAAAAAAAGAAACTAATCATAACCCTCACCCCCCCCCCCCCCCGTCTCTTAAACAGGAAAACGGCCTCCACTTCTCAGAACATGATATCAACACGTTCGAGGCCTTCGCTATCTTCTGCGGCCTCGGAATACAAAACACCCAAGTCTACGAGAAAGCCTGTAAGACAATTTTCTTCCTTTTTTTTTATTTTGTGATTTTTTCATTAAAAGAGCGAACAGAATCGGAAGTCAATTTTCTTTTTTAACCAAAGAGCGAACAAAATCACGTCAATTTTCTTCCTTTTTTTTAACTTTTTTTTATTATTTATTTTTCATTAAAAGAGCGAACAAAATCACGTCAATTTTCTTCCTTTTTTAACATTTTTATTTTTAGGATTTATTTTTCATTAAAAGCCAGAATCGGAAGTCAATTTTCCTTCTTTTTTTTAACATTTTTATTTTTATAATTTATCTTTCATTAAAAGAGCGAACAAAATCAAGTCAATTTTCTTCCTTTTTAACATTTTTATTTTTATTATTTATTTTTCATTAAAAGAGCGAACAGAATCGGAAGTCAATTTTCCTTCTTTTTTTAACATTTTTATTTTTATTATTTATTTTTCATTAAAAGAGCGAACAAAATCAGGTCACTTTTCTTCCTTTTTTAACATTTTTATTTTTATTATTTATTTTTCATTAAAAGAGCGAACAAAATCAGAAGTCAATTTTCTTCCTTTTTTAACATTTTCTTCTTTATAATTTATTTTTCATTAAAAGTGAACAAAATCAGACGTCAATTTCAACACCTTCTTTATAAATGGATTGAGTTCATTAATAAAGAGAACAAAATAACAAGTCAATTTTTTATTTGTAACATTTTCTTCTTAAATTGTTTACGGTAATTGAGTTCATTAATAAAGAGAACAAAATAACAAGTCAATTTTTCTTATTTATAACATTTTCTTCTTAAATTGTTCACGGTAATTGAGTTCATTAAAAAAGAGAACAAAATGTCAAATCAATTTTCCTTCTTTATAACATTTTCTTCTTAAATTGTTCAAGGTAATTGAGTTCATTAAAAAAGGAACAACATTATAAGGGTAATTAGATTATGTTTGTTTTATATGTTTTTATATAATAATAATGGGAACAAATATCATTATGATGTTTATGTTATATTTCTTTATACAACAAGGACGAGAACGAAAATAGAAGTGAACTTATACCTTTATGTAATAAAAATATACTTGGTTTTTTGCTTGATATTTCTCCGTAAAACAAGAACAAAAAAGACTTTTTATATAGAATACGTACAATAAAATATAACTGTTTTTTATCATTTTTCCTTATTCATCCATTTATTCATATTTCTGCTGTTCACGTCAAAGTTGATTTTATTGATAATCCGATTAAGCTTACGCAACACACTTGATAATGTAATTTGACGGTCAATCATAAACCTGAATCATATTTCACAAAAGATTATTCTAATCATTAATATTCCCCGGTGAAAAATGCAAACATTATTTATTTCGCTTTTCCGGGAGATCATGATATAGCGATAATATGCAATGATGCTGAAAAAAATAGTCATACGTTTATGCATCTGAATATAATGTTAAAAGGTGTTCAATCCTGTTCATAATGTTAACAAAAGGATCGTGAGGCGTTTATCCCCGTCGTTATTAATCCCGGTTTAGTTTTAATAATCACAAGAGTTTTATATATCACTTCAG